TCAATGCAACTTTAAAAGTATTACTACTGTTTTGAAGAATACCTATACTTATTTTTGTTTAGTTTCAAAGTGTTTTTTGTATTTGTTAGTTTTAAAAATGTAGTGTATGCTTGAGCATATTTTACCGCTTACATGCAATAAAGTTGCTAGGTATTTTTTTATTATTTTCTACTTTTATTTCAATGTTTAATTAACATGGTCGAAAAAAGGGGGTTTTCGGCCACCCGACCGAAAACCGGCATGTCCATGGCCGAGAAAAAAACCACGTGGCCGAGAACTGGCAAAAAGCACATTTTTAATATTTTATTTAAGGAAAGGAAACTAAATAGATTTCTCATTTTTGAATGGACATAAATTAGTTTAGTATACTACAGGCTATCAGATAAAATGATCAAATTTAGAATTAAATCAATCAGGTCTTTTTAAACGTCGGTTTAATGGGAAAATTCAGTTAAGTGGTCGACAACTGGGCAATTCACCCTATAATAGATTATGTTATAATCAATAGAGATATACATCCATCGAAAATAATCGACGTAAGATGCTTCAACTCAGCAGATGTAGGTAGCAACCATAGCCCAGTATTATGTAAAATAAGAATCATTATGAAATACTTACCATACAAGAGATCGGCGCCAACACCACCAAAAATTAAACTTGAAGGACTGAATACGGAATCCTCGGAATATTTATACAGGAAGAAAATATGAGAGAAGATCGGTGATAATGAAACATTAATGAACTATAACATCAAGGAAATCTGGGAAAAACCCAAAAACAACATAATTAACGCCAAAACAGAATCACTTGGAGGGAGGAAAGTAACGAACACTAACATATCAAAAAAGAAAACACCATGGTTTAGAGAGGAAGTGAAGACAAAATGCGAAGAAAAGAAAAAAACCTTTTTACAATACAAAACACAACATACACAACAGGCATACAACCACTATAAACCAGAAATGAAAGAAATACTTTAGACAAATATAAAAGGCAGAACTTCTCAAAACAGATGGAACACGACTTCTACAGAACACAAAATGAAATATGGAAAATAATCAGAGAACAAAGAAAAGAGATGAACGAATTAACAAAAACGAAACACATTTAGAAGAAAACATGGGTAGACTGCTTCCGATCCGTATTTGCTAAAGGTGATGATAATGAACCACCAACACCAGGGGTGACGACAAACGAAGAAAAAAATATTGAGGAAAAATGGCAAAGGAAGCATTAAGACAATTAGAAAATTAAAAATCACCAGGAGAGGACAAAGTACCGAACGAACTCCTATAGTACGGAGAACCAGATCTGACCAAACAACTATTAAAAGTAATCTAAAAAATAATAGAACAAAACAGAGTTCCGCAAGAATGGAGATCAAGCATTCTAATACCTCTCTTCAAAAAGCGAGACAAATTGAACCCGGAAAATTACAAAGGAATTAATTTATTAAACACAACACTAAAATTAAGAACCGAAGTGATAACAATTAAATTGAATGAAATTATAACACTAGCAGAAAAACAACAAGGTTTTAGGTCGGGAAGATCATGCTATATTTATAATGAGGCAAGTACAAAAGGAGTCATTAGAATACAACAAACCGGCATATCTATGTTTCGTAGAGCTTAAGAAGGCATTTGACCAGGTCAAATTAAAAGAGGTTATACACTTACTGTACGCAAGAGAGATACCTCTAGAAATAATCAAAACGATCGAAAATATCTACCAAAATAACACAATCAAAGTAAAAGTAGAAGAAGAACTAATCGATTCTATTGAAACTGGCAATGGGATAAGACAAAGAGATTCTCTGGGTCCTGTATTGTTTAACCTCATTATGGATGAAATAATAAAAAAAGTAAGAACTTAAAATGGATACCAAATGGAAAAAAAGACAACTTAAAATAATCTGCTATGCAGAAAACGCAATACTACTTTCTCAAAGTAAAAATTATTTAGAAAATATAACCGCCAGAAAATTTAACATGTTAATTTCCCCAAAAAACATAAAATGCATAGTTACAACAGAAAATTTTACTAAGATGTAAATTGGAGCTGAAAGGTCAGATAATAGAACAAGCGATGGAGTTTAAATATCTAGACATTACATTATCTAGCTACAGAAAGCTTGTAACTAAAGTGGAAGATAAAGTGAATAGAGCAAACAGAGCCGAAGGCTTTCTGAATGAAGCAATATGGAGAAATAAAAAGAAACAAGGGGCAGAATTTACCAAACAGTCATCAGACCAATAATGACATACGCGGCAGAAACAAGATCTGACACAAAGAGGACAAAAAAGATGTTAGAAACAGCAGAGATGAAAACACTTAGAAACATCGATAGTAAGATCCTATGGGACAGAGCTAGAAGTACAGATATATGACGTAGATGCAAGGTGGAAGATATCAAAAACTGGGTAAAAAATAAAAGAGTAGAATCGAACGATTATATAAGCCAATTGACAACAAATAGAATATAACTAGTTACGGATGTATTGAAGAAGAGGTACGACAACAAATCTTAAAAGCAAATAAAGAGACGGGTTTTCTTAATGACACAATCTGGAATAACAAATACCTAAGACAATACACAAAAACAAGAATCTATAAAGTAGTAATAAGACCTATTAACATACACGGCGGAGACAAGACCTGACACATCTAAAACGAGACGACTGCTAGAAACAACAGAGATGAAAATACTCCGAAGATTATCAGAAAAGTCTGTTGAATAGGGAGAAAAGCGAAAACATAAGAAGAGCATGCATTATAGAAGACATAAATTGATGGGTGACAAAACGAAAACAAGAGTTGAATGAACATATCAGTAGAATGGCAGAGGATGGAATAGTACGAATAGCACGAGATAAGTCACCAAATAGACGAAGAAGTATTGGCAGACCAAGAAAAAGATGGTGCAACAATTTAAACAATTTAGGAGGCTAATATTGAAGAAAACACAGGTTTTTAAAGCCTACATACTAGAAGGAAGAAGAAGAAGAAGCAGATAACAAATAGAGTAAAAAAGACAGCAAGAATCGGTTTCCCAATAGGAAGACGATCAGTAGGAAGATCACAAATACTATATAACGATAACTCACTGGAGGCACATTGAAAAACAGACAGAGCCATGTTTATATAAAAAGAAAAAAAAAACAAGAAAAAGAAATAACCATTTTATTATAAATACTTCATTTTAAAGGTCCTAAAAATGAAAATTCCATAGCAATCAGTCAATGAAAATGATTAATTTTATTGTTCGTTTAAGCATCATAAAAAATAACAAAAATCGCGCAATGTTTGTTTACTGTCGATTATGACAAGTCATGTCTATATAAAAAAAAAGAAAAAGCAGAAGAAGTGTACTTTTAGTCTCTTGGGGATCCATTAATGCTGTATAACTTGCAAACAGCGAAACCGGTCGCGCAATATTTGTCTTAATAAATACCTACAATAACTTAACATAGATAGTGATTATAATATCCTTTTCTCTAACGCTCATGAATATGTGCTCACACCAGCAACCTTTTTATCATGCTTTTAAGAATTTAAATTGGCTAACAAAGGGAATAAAAATAGATGGAGAATATCTAAACAGCTTACTTTTCTCCGATGATATAGATAATAGGTCTAATAATAGGTATCTAGGAATGACAAATAAGATGGTACAGGAATACATTGTGGCAACCAGAAAATCAGTACTGGTTGGCAAGAAATAGAACTCGTAGATCAATATAAATATCTAGGATATGAAATTATGATTGGCAGGGATAATCAGATCCATGAACTAAATAGAAGAATCGGTATTGGATAGGCACCATATGGAAAACTAAAGAAAAATTTTAAAAGTAAGCTGCACACCTACCTGAAGAGAAAAGTATTTGATCAATGCCTCCTCTCAGTGTTGATATATGGAGCAGAAATACTTACCCTAAAAAAATCCCCAGCTACCAAACTAGGAATTACACAAAGAGGTTATTGGAATAGAGACCAAGGGAAGATCAGATAAGCACCAGTCGACCACCTATACAATGGACTGACGATTTAAAAAGGCTGAATAAAAACTGGAGAGAGCGCTGCAAGATATGGTACCGAGGCAGAAGCGTCGTGATATTATTATATATTTTATGTTATTTTTTATATGTTTTGTATTTTTAGTTTGGCACTAGATACTTTGTTGTGTTACTTGATCTGAAAATCATTGAAAGAGGAGAAACGGCATAAGTTAACTGATATAAGTTATAAATGAAATAAAACCAAGAGTACATTTATCAACATACACACCTTTTAACGTTGAAGCAAAGTTTAATACCAGAACAGGTAACTAGTGGGCGCTCGAATGAAGAAGAAGAGAAACTGCATGAAAAGAAAAAACAACACAAATATATATTTGTATTTTCATATTATTAAAATCATAAGAATGTAGAATCTTCTAGTGATCATCCGATTAAGTTGACTTTTACTTCAATGGAACAGTTAATGACATCGTTATAACTTTTTTTATCTAACAGTCACACCAATGATAAAGATTTTGTTGGAAAAAAAGCATGAGATGGTATTAAAACTTTTTCTTTCTAAAACTTTTGGAACACAAAGTTCAGAAAACCAACAATGAAAATGAAGTTAAAGGAACAGTGCATGTTTTTACAAGTGTCCACCCTATTAACCCGATATAGACCCATTTTGATTTAGGACTATTGAAAAATAATAAAATAAATAAAAATTATAAAAATCAGCCAAACGAAGAAAAGTAATGTCGCCTACAAAAAAGTTGAAATAAATTGAAAATTACATTTATTAGAATTATTTCCCGTAATATTTTAAAAAAAAGTAGAATATCCTAATAATTACGTAACCTCTACAGAGAATGAAAAAAAAACCAAAAGTAAGCGAGCAAACATAAAAAATGACAATGTTACAAAAATTCAGCCAAAAGAATAATGAGAAGACAACACAAATAGTTGGGAAGTAAATTAAACAAATTAAGTACCTACCATGATTGTAATCGATTCCTTCCGAGGGATTCCATCCGCTGTTGGGCAAATTAGGATCCTCGTATATTATAGGACTGCTACTACCCCCAGCGTACCTTTGCACTCTATTACGAGGTCCATTGATACCTTGACCTCGACCGGGCCAAGCGTAGGTGATCCTGTGCCAAGTAAATTCTTCTTTCAGGCCTGTACCAGACACAAAAATTGCCAATAACGAAAAAACACAGACCGTAAGAGTTCGCATTGTGAGAACGTATGAATGTTAAGAATCTATGTATGTCATTGGACTGATCAAAACTGCGGATTGCGTTGTTGATATAAATAAGTAATACCGGAACAGTGGCGGGGAAGTGTTTCTTGGGAAATACGGGAATTTGGATAGGGTAAACTATACAGTTTAAGAAGGTGGATGCAGTTAATTAAATTTTTTTTAATAAAATTTCACTTACAAACCCCTTAATATTATTTTTTGGTTTCTTCAGTTTAATGATTTTAAAAAATATTTTCGCCATTTAAATCAATGTTTATTTGTTATTACGAAACAATTTGTTATTTGTAAAATATCCAAAGATTGGCCACTAACTTTCAATTATTGGCCACTTGAATACCAGTAATTGGCATAGGTAAATCATATTATTAAAACGATAGGTAGATACGTACCTAGTGTAGAATTAATTAATTTTGGATAACATTATAGGTTATTGTTAAGATAATAAAAAAAAATTTTATTTATACAGCAACACAAGTCTAAAAATTTTTATCCTTATCTACTGAAGGACTAATTTTTATAAGGCACAAATTATGATACGTTCGGCTGCACTTGTAGCATCGGATACCTTTCTTTGAATTTGTAATAATTTTCGTACAAATGAAACAAAGTTTTCCGACAGCTATTGAATTATTAGTCATTAAACAAAGTCATTATTTTGGGGTTCATCATCACTTTCAGAACTGCTGAATACTTTTCGTACGTGACGTTGAGGTATTTTTATATTATTGCCTAATCCGCTTGTCCCTGCTGCATTATCGTATTTGTTCAGGCAATCAATGTCCAGTTTGGGTCTTTTAGATTTAGTTTTATTTTTGTTTTCTTTCACTGTATCATTTTCTTGCTTTCTTGTTTTGATGTTTGTTCTCCCAATTTTTTTGGTAGCTTTTTCTTTTTGCTTGGATAATCTTTCTGTTTTACTTGTTTCTTTTCTTTTCTGTTCTTGTTTTTTATTTTCCAATTTCTCCATCTAAATTATTTTCCATCCTGAACTAGTTAAAACAAACGGTAATCATTAGCAATGCTTTTTCCTTTTCTTTCTGGTGTTTTAGGCCAAATAACGAAATCTCGAATGCTTCTATTATTTTCGGTAGTTTCTTTATTGTCCTTTACAAATGATTATTCAACTAAAGGCACCTCCTGGGTTAAAATTTCTTGAGATCTATCACTTGTCAGCACAGTTTCTTCTAAAGACTGTTTTTCTTCTTTATTTTCCTTATTAGGAAATTTTTATACTGTGTTAAATTTTCATCTAATATATCATTTGTTTCCATAGCTTCTGGTAAAGGCCGAGTTTCTTTTTTATTTTCCTGTATAAGTAATTCTTTACCATGCCCTTCGTGTGCTACATTTTTTTGTAATTCTTCCCCTGTCTCCACAGTTTCTTCAAAATGGTTATCACGTGATAAATGTTGGTTGCTTTTTTCCTCTTCATTTACATCCAATTTAAAAGTATATTTTCGTCGAAAATAATTTCCATATTTTCTATTTCTGTGTCCACTGTACTGATTTCTAGGTTTTCTGAATCGTCACGAATTTCCGTATTAAGATGGCTATTGCTCTTTTCAAATTCTTAATATAATTTATATAACAAGATTAACTCATCATGACTTGCTTCGTCAAACTGATAAATTTTTTTAAATATGGCTTTTCTCTCTTCGCCAACTATTTCCTTAAATTGATTAAAAGAAATAAACGGAATATTAGGAGAACCTTTTTTCTTTACGTTTGTATCTGAACATATTTTAGTTTCCTTTTTTGTTCCCAGACATTTGGTAAAGTCTATACCCGATGCGTTCCATGGACATAATCCACTTGCTCTAAACCCATTTTTTATAGTTTTAGCATTTGCGTAGTCTTCTATGATACCTTTCAGGACTGGTGGAAATTTCTCTTTAGTCAGCATTTCATGGGGATGTTTTCTTCTGAATTTTAATACTGCTTTTTTTCAACCTATTTTTAACGGTTTGAATGCAGCAACATCTGCTGGTTGCATTAACCGTGTTGCGTTGGAATACAATGATATTAAAATCATTTGTAGTTCCGTACACAGTTGACTCAACTTTAGTGTTTGATGTGTAGAATGGCCATCTACAAAAACGATTATTGGAAAAGTAGTGCCATTTTTTTTAAATATGGATACAAAAAATTACCAATATATTCGTAAAATAACTCAACTTTCATCCAACCATTATCACTATGTCCAATTCCCCAAGAAGAAGGCACTGAATTAACTACAGAAGTCAGAAGTCTCTTTTACGGATAAATAAGCATCGGATCAGTTACTTGACCAGATGCAGAAAAGGTAAACATCTCGGTGATATTCATTTTTGCTTGACCAGAATCTACCTCACAAATATTCCGTGCTCCACGAGGCGCAATAATTTTAAAATTTTTTGGGCACAGATTCTAGTGGGGTCTTGCAGAATATAATCTAAATTTTTACTTTTTAAATATTCCTTGACTAAAGAAAACCATTTACGAACATCTCCTTCTGAAACAACTGAACTGACCGAAGTAACTGCTTCTGGTGTTCGGTGAGTTAAAATTTCATGTCGCTTAAGAAAGCCTCGATACCAGCCTTCTCCAGGAAAATTGTCCTAAAATACATTTTCACGTGGGTTTTAATCTAAAAATCTAAAAAACAAAAGCTTGAATATCTACTTTCCTAACTGGAAATCCTTTTTTGTAACTTGTCAATATCCATTCTTCTAAAATAGCTTCCTCCTTATTATTTAAAATACTGCTTGGTCCCAAAGTTATCTTATTAGTAAACTTATCACTTTTTCTAAACTGAAGAGTTTGACGTGGTACTTTAAATATTTGGGAAGCTTTTCTTTGTGACATCCCATTTTCGATGGCCTTCAACGCAAGCGAAACATCTTCGACATATTTTTTTTCGTATTATGCACCCTCTTTTACTTTGGTCATCTACAAAAAAAATATCTATGTACCCATGTGCGAATCACTAAACATAAAATATTATCAGTAGTATTATCCCTAGGACATTCATAACAGACGAGATAATTTCATGACAGTCGAAAGCTCGTTCCTTGGTAACAGCACGAAGCCGAAGGCTGAGCTCAGTCTTCTGCTTCGACTTCGTGCTGTTACCAAGCAACGAGCTTGAGAAATTTGTCATGAAATTATGAGGCATTCATCAATGTCCGAGGGATATTCAGCGGATAATTTTTCGAAAAAAAAAATCATAACGAAACATTTATTTATTTAAAGTACAGTTAGTGAAAGTACAATTATTAAAATTTAAGTTAATATTAGATCCGTTGCTGGTCTCTACTATAGAAGATCTATTACCACGCATAATATTTATAATCTTGTTGTGGTGTTCCTGATCGAGAATTAAGTATGGTTTTATAGAATTCTGATTGCCATGACCAGTAATTTTTAGCAATTGTTGTTCTTCTACACCACTTTTTGCTAATTCGCTAACAGCAGTTGATCTATTCGAGTGATTTGTTATCTTTTTTAAAAACGTGACATTTTGAAATTTATTTGGATGAAGTTGTCAAACTCGATCGTGTTGTCATAGGGATTGAAAATTGCACTGAATGCAATTATTAGTCTAATGTTGACATGATTGGGTGAAATTGTTCCACATGACACAAAATGACGAAATTTGAATGGTTGTTTTAATATTGTTCTGAAGCTATTTTCTTGTGGCATTGTAAATTAATTATTATTAAACTGGGAATAAGCCACAATTAAAGATAAAAATACATTTATTGACGTTTCAATTTCCACTTCGGAAATCGTTCTCAAATACAAACAGTAAATTTACTGTTTGTATTTTGAGAACGATTTCCGAAGTGGAAATTGAAACGTCAATAAATGTATTTTTATCTTTAATTGTGGCTTATTCCCAGTTTAATAATAATTGAATGGTTGTTAGAACAGTCAAAAAATTATCAATAAAATGTATTTTACAGTGAATGGCCAGGTGGCCAATAACTGTCTAATATAAAGAAATTAGAACCAGTGATTGGCATAGATAATTTAATAAAAACGAAGCGCATTCATGCAATTATTAACTTATATTTAATCATTTTAAACATAATAAAATAACTTAAAACTATATATTTTATGTAACAAAACATATCTTATAAAAAATCCTTTCTTCCAATACTATTGGTTTTTACGATTCTTAAGTACCTATTTTTGATAAAAAATGTTGATACACAGCACACCATCTGATAGATCTGTCGATATTTTTTTAAGGTTAGGTATTGCAATAAAATGAAGTCAGATCATCGAGTTAGAATCTATTTTGTATATGGTTGCCTCTATTATAAAATAATAACATTTGTCAGTGACTTTCGTTATATTCTTAAAATAATGTAAAAAACCGACAATGTGCCAATAACTAATAGTACCCAATCACTGTATAGCTTACTTAGTTTCGGAAAACTGGCAAGCAAAAGTTTTACAGAATATTATCAATGATAACTAGACTTTGAAAACATACAAATAAAAAATGTATACACTTAAACATGCACTAACTTTCTGGAAAAACGTGCATAGAATTACAGAAATAAACATATTACTTCTAAAAAAGTAACAAATTTCTTAAGAAATTTATTACTTTTTTATATAAGTAACAAATTTCTCAAGAAATATACTTAAAAGAAAAATGATACGTACGGTCCGTCCCAAACCCTTTTTTCAGTGCGTCATAGTTGATCGAATTCTTTCTAACGCATAAAGCTAGAAGTGACAGAAAAAGACGTGAGTCTGTGATTATTATACATAGAACATAGAAAATTATGTATCGTTCACGAGTATTTGCATATTAAAGCGAATTCTACTTATGGATGTATAATTGGTTGGAGTTTAGAATACGCTAAATAGATATCCAATCAATGATGCGCATAAATATAATTTGACGCAGATTATCTTGATCATGACAATACTTTCACAATGTCAACTGATAAAATGATAATTGTCATTCCAGGTTAGTATTTTCAGACATTTTACAGTGAAAATTTGATTTTGTATTTAT